TTGCATAAAATGGATATTTGAAATGTATTATTCTGTAATGAATCCATTAATCTATTATATGTACAGTAGCACTTAACATATGAAACACAATTTTGGGAATATTGACAAGCAAAGCACTTAATGAAAAAGACACTTTTAAATGTACTAAAATATTAGTATCTGTATGAACAACAGAGAATATATGTAATGAATAATACCATGACCAAATACCTATATAAACAAAACAAAATTAAGTATTCTCATCCTCGACACTTGAAAAAGTAATCCTGCTGTGCAACATTTAGTGAATTTCTGATTGCATGATATTGCAAGCATTTTGTTAGATTTTTCCTACTAGTGCTTAAGACCATTGAATACTGGTAGTTTGATCTGTGTTCATATCATGGTTAAAGGGCTGGCTGCATGGTTGATTTTTCTAGTTTTCCTCATATGTAATGCAAATACAAGCCAGTTTCCCTTAGAATGTTCATAAAGGCATCCTTCTTCAGGTCAACAGCTGGTATGCTTTGCCATATTCGAATAACCTAAACTTTCCTTCAGATTATACATTGAAAGGTTATATCTGTAGTAAGCAGGACAATGATCATTCAGCTTCTATCCGTGTGGAAGGAGTATATTTAAAACATGTCAGAACCATGGGATTCATAACAAAATCGACCATTAATCTTGAACATTTTATCAAGTGTGCCGTTTTTTTCTACGTTATGGGTTTCACTAACAAGATATTCATACTTTTGTTCAAGTTCACAAGCAGTTCAGCAATACAGTTGCTGGATACTGGTAGTTTGACCCTAGTTTGAATCTTCAGTACTCAGTATCTTGGGCCATCACACTGTCATGGCCCCTAAAGCTATTACTGCTTGGCATAATATAAGCAAAGCATTTACGACTCATTTATGATACAACATTCTGAGAAGTGTTTCATCTGCCTTTCTCATACACCTGAATGCATCATTCAAAAGAAAATGATGTTGCTGCGTTTAATTTCATCAGGCCTGATGAAAGGTCTAGAATGCTGCAAGTGCTGGTTTTTTCTCACATCTGTTTTAAGGAGAAATAATTTCAGCGATATCCTGGAACTAGAATTATCCTAGTTTACATATGAATTTGTCAACAGCATATGCTATTTCCTAAAAATCAATGAAAATATTGCTTTTTTCATTCTCATTTTGGATATTCTAAAATGCAGTAATAATGTATACAGCATTGATTTACGTCCATTTTAAGGTAAATTTGCTGATCATTTCTTATAAGTTTCCAAACATCTTTTTAGAGATGGACTTTCTTCTTTCCAAAGTGAAATGTGTGTCAATACAATTTATTTCAAATGACTATGGCATGACATCTAGTCTTCACTTTGGCATTCATGTTTGTTTCATTATTTTACGGAGACATTGCTATTTATTTTTAAGTGTTTTTAATGTGTTATTGAAAATATTTGTAATATACGCATTTACAAAACTTTGCACTGACCAGTGATATAAAGTTAGTCTTCAGTTAAAAGACTTGTTTAGGATTGTGTAAAGTTGAACAATTACTTTGTTTATATAAGTTGAATAGGAGACTGTTGTTTTATGATTTTTTTTGTAATGTTGGATAGTTTCCACAGGCTTTGGGAATTTTCTTCATTTGATTATCTCTATGTAGTTGAATAGAAAAATATTTTGAAATTATCAAAATAAATAAGTTATCTATTTTGGAGATTAATTTTGATAACCAGCATTTTGTAACAGCATCATGTTCTTAGCATATGCTAAGAATATCGTCAAAAGAAAAGAGTCAACCAACGTGTGCAGATCTGTGATAAATTTTACTACTTTTTGTTATTCCCATGTAGTTATATAATGATTTGAACAACTGTAATTTTGGAACACTGAGAAAAACAACTGCTTCAAGTGATTGTTAGACTGTAACTAAATTACTTCAAGTTGCAAATGTGGTCTCACGGCTTCATAGTTTATATTGCAAGGCATGCTGAAAATTTCTAGTTACATTTGAATTGCATTGAAATCTGTGTTTAAACTCAAAATGCAGGTTTCTTTTTCAGGCTATCTTCATAACTATTGCATTTTGACATTTAAATTGTTCATATGACAAAGAAATGTGAAAAATGCTAAGTTGAAAACCATGCTGTATCAATATAAATTAAATCCTGTGACTAATCACTTACTAGTCCTGTGAAAATTTGCAAATATGACTCTGATTTTTTGTGATTGCTTTCTAAATTAATTGATGCTATATATTTTAAAATTTCACACTTTACAGAACAATGTTTCTCATTGAAGAATGGCACAATTTCGTTAATCAGTTGCCAAACTTTCTCGAAAACACATCTTGCACTAAGCCATCTTACTTTTGTTTTGTGTAATACAGCACATGCAAGTATTCAGATTTTAAGGGCTTAAGTAAATCTCGTAATTCCCTGTGGGTACATCAACAAGATTGAATACTATTCCCAAGCCTCATGGTTACATCAAGCACAGGTTTAATGTTCAATGGAAATTTAAACAGACCACTTGAAAATAGTTAAAATTTCCACATTAAAAAAAAAAAAAAAAGATTACCTTTCTTCATTTCGTTACATTATCAGTAATTCTCGCTTTCTGGGGAATTTTCAGTGGGAGATCTAAATCTTGTTATACTTATCTGTGTTCATGATGTAACAAAGTCGATGAGCACAGTATACATGTCGATGAAGTGAGATAACAGATATCTATGTGAACTCATGTTATGCGCAAATCACGTGATATTCCTTTACGTTTTATTTATACAAATACAGTATACATTGTATAGCCAAAACAAAAATGAATATATGTTTACAATATACATTATGTATTGCATAGTAAAATCCTAAATATATTTTGATAATTTGCTGAATAGAATATCTATATAGATCTATATAGAAGCTTTAAACAGGTAGTTGTTCACTGGCCATAGTTTGTCCATCCTTGAACTCAACTTTCGGATTTGATAGAGTGAGATTGTGACTACATTTTCAGTAACTTATTTGATAAAATTATGATTTGAAAATTCAAAATAGATTTAAAATCAGAAGATGAATTTAAAAGAAATACTGTGCCTAAATATATCATTAATAATAATTAATGAGCCCACCAGCGGCCGAGCAGTAAAAGCTGCTGAACACTGGTAGTTCGATCCTGGGTTCAAGTCCCGGCGAACGGGCTGGCTGCATGCGCGTTTCCGTGATTTCCCCATGTGTAACATGGATACGAGCCAGTTTCCCTTAAAAAGACCTCTACAGGGCATCCCTCCCTTTCCGTGGAGTGCCTAAGGGCGGAGCACGTAATAAGAAAAAAATAAAAATAATTAATAACAAAAAAAATAAGTAATCATATAATAAATATATGCAATATCACACTTACATGATAATTTATACAAAACTATTCCTACATGATTTTTCAATGAAATTTTTTTCTTATTCACTGATCACTCAGCATAGCTCTCCAATAACAATAACCGAAATCAGGTTAGGGTTTGAGGGTTAGTTAAGGAATATTTTGAGTTTAAAATTGCTGGTGGCATGTATCCGTTTGGTTTGGTGTGTTTTAATTATGTCAAAGCATGCAAAAAATATCTGCGTAAGAGAAGGTGTGCCTTTGAGGAGAACTTTATAAGGGATTTTTGGCTTTGCATTCCTGTAACATATTGAAGCACCGTGAAAACACCCATGCAATTAGCTGTCTTTTTTTAGATTAGGACCTAAATCAAACTACCAGAATTCAGTCACAGAACATCAGTTGGAAAGTAATGAATCATAGTATGCTTGTTAGAGTTACATGCAAAAAAGTTAAATTCTGCCCTTACTGTTTCTGAGGTTAGCATGATTGTTAATAAAAATAGTGGATATGTTAGTTTTTATTTTATGACACATGCACACATAAGCACACACTTATTTATGCATGCATAAGTAAGTCAGAGCAGAATATAATTTATTCCTATACAAACTTTATTTTTTACCTAGTCAAACAGTTGCAATAGTTTATATTTCAATGAAAAACATTGTTTATTTCATTTATGTGATGAGAATTTATTTTCACTCATACTTTGGAAAGCATTTTGAAATTATGTAATGAAGGTACAAGTAGTAAAAGTGCCTTTTTGTTTCTCTTGTGTTTTGACAATTTCCCAAGAAACTGCACTGTTAAAAACAGGAATATTTTCTAATTTTATATTCTTAAAGCATATTTAAAGAAAGATATGAATTTCACTAAGTTATTTTTCAACAAATTGATAACTTTGCCATGAAAGACTCATTATTTGCTGTGATCTGCAAATATGATCTGGTTCTGTTTTAAATGGAGAAGACATGTATGTATCACCAAAATAGCTAATAAACAGTCAATTACGATCAACGCATTTCGCGGAAATTCGTTAACAGGCTGTTTTTCATTACAAACAGGAAATGGCATACTGCAAGCCAGAGGGAATATGGAGTTAGGGGATCTATGGGAACATAATATCCAGTCCTTTCATTGCTATTAACCGCGGTTTGTATACGATTTTCAGTTTACGGTTTGTATTATGGTTAACCTTTTTAAATATCTTGTAACGTAACTGTACACCGCTAAACTCATGGCCGATTAGCCGTTGACGAGCTTGGCGAGTAAATACGCTTCGCCGCCAACGGATCCTCTCCGGAAGAAAACCCGCAATTAATTACTTGTATTAGGTCATCACAATCCCTACATAATTTACATTCCAATCTAAGCATATGTTATGCAAAATTAAAATTATAACAGCATGCAAAAATTACCCATTTTTCCATTTTATAGAATATTAAAAACACAAAACTAATTTCATTAATCAAAAACAAAATTGCACTGATCATATGATAAATGATCAATGCGATTTAATAAACTAAAAACTACAATTTAAAATGACTTGCAAATACTTATCAAATTCAAATTTTAAGATACTGCAAGCTATACAACAGAGAACCGAATTTCATACCAACAAATGCCATTACACAAAATACATACCCCATAATTACACCAAAACAATCAATCGGATGCTATTTATAAAATGTTTATGGTAATTAAATTTTAACAGATCCTTGAAATTTTAACAAAGTACAACTAAAGGGGGGGGGAGAAAATAAGCGTTTAACAACTATAATACTCGAAACGCATTTATTATCAACGCTCGCAATGGCGCAAATTATGCTTGTTGCCAATAGCTGAGGTATGTCAATTAAATTTTTCAGATTTCAAAATAACGAAATTAAATAATAAACAAACAATATTAAATAAAGATTGAATTAAGATGGATCTATAATAGGTTATTTTACAACATAAATTTTTATTATTCAATAACAGCAGAAGCATTAACAAAATAAATCAACGCATGAAACTAAACAAAAGCTTTCTGTACACAATGTTCGGGGAGGAATTAATACACTTTGACCATCTGAGCGCATCCAAGCCACATACATTTTTTTCTCTTCGCTTTTTCTAATATAAAATTTCTTTAGTAAGATTAAACATTGATGGTTGATTGAGCAGAAAGTAATTTAATCTCTTTACCAAAATGCTTTTATTATGATTGTATGTTTGGCAACAATAAGTCATGAGTCTGAGAGACGAAAAGTTGCATGTTTTCGTAATTTGTTACCTACTGTAGAAAAGACTTAAAATTTTTGTTGCGTTTCGCGTGTTTGCATTCCCATTCAGTCTGTTGTATAGTGAAAGGAACTTGAAAGGCGAAACTAATTCTTTGGCTTCGAAAATTTTTATGGCTGACGGGCATCGGCGAAGGAGAATGAAATCAGATGACGATTCAGAGGGATCTTTTTCTGAATCCGACGGAGAAGCAAAGGGTACAAATGATACTGAAAGTAGTGTAAAAGGAACACCGGAAAAGGTAATATTTTATATTAATGCTACAGTGGATTAGATGAATTCTATATGTTATAAAAATTGAAAAGTGGAGTAAACTAGAGTTCTTCATTTTGCATTTAAGTTAAAGCATCTTAACAATTTCAGCGTTAAAAATTAAATAATGTTGAAAATTTCGGTGTTAAAAGTTTTTTCGAAGACTTAATGTTCTCTGTCTTTTTTCTGATCGGTTGAGCACGAGCATTGTTTTTAGTTTTTTGATACTGTTGTAAGATCTTCAGTTATAGTATCTATAGTCATCTGTTTTTAACTTATAGTAGAATATTGTTGTAAGTTATGTTTTGATATTCTTGCAAGATTATCAGCATTATATTGTATTTCTGATTATTTAAGGTTTCGTGATGAGTTCTGTAAATGTCTCAAGTTGGTTTATTATAATTTTATTTCTTGAAATTTGATTTTAGTTTGAATTTTTGGTAGTAGTATTAACCCCTTAACGATCGGATAATTTTCAAGAAAACGGTCATAAAAAGGCCTATATGCAATATATTCATACATTAATTTATTTACATATATCAGTATGCATTCATTTTCAATTTCTGGACTTTTTTTAACTTGAAATTTTTAAAATATAATATTTTAGGAAAAGTCAACATTCAGGTGTGTTTTGACTGAATGTTGGTTTTCAAGTAAGCCAGGAGAATTTCAGAAATATGTTTTTTAAACATTAAACAAGAATTTTATTAAACTTACACATAATATTAACAAAGCTTAGTAATTTTTTCTTGTGTGATAAATTTCAAAGCATGAGATGCAAAGGCCAACCTGGACAGTAGTACCGAGTTTCCTTTCTACATCTCTTATTGTTTTCATCTCTTCTAGAACAACAAGCTTTGCATTCTCTTGATGGTTGCCATTTCTTATCAGTTGTTGGCATTTGTCTAACAAAATGTCTTTCAATTAAATGGTTTGGATTATCCTCCAAGCTTGGCCGGCCTCTTTTTGAAATGGAGTCTGATACATTTCACTAAGTTCATCTACTAAAGATAAACGAAATATCAAATGGGATTTTTTTTTCCCGCCCTGTTTTTTGTAAATAAGATACAAGTTCAAAATAGTTTGGTCTAACAAATGGAAAAATATTTTCTTATATTTCTTTCCTTTTTTTCGAGCAATAATCTCCAAGATACTAGTCTACAATATCTACCGCTTTCATATTTTTATTGTAATCTGTGACAATTGTAGGTTTTTTTTTTTAAAAAAGCTTTGTTATGACACTGTACATCTACTATGTCATTTGTGTGAACTGTAGATAGCATGGTAACATCTTTCTTATCTTTCCACTTCATGGGAAGAACTTTACCTCGACGAAAAGCAACATTTTCACCTTTTGCGATTCTCTTTTTTACTAATTCTTGAGGCATTTCTTTTTAGTTTAGTTTTACAGTTTGTTGCCTTTGGCTACTTATGTTTAAAATTAAGTTATGATTAGGAACAGCATAAATTATAAACAAATAGCTAAGTTTATTGCTTTTTATTTTCCAGCTATCAAAATACGACGCTACTAGAATAGCAACATTTTGAAATAAGAACTAGTTGCCATTCAGCATAAAGAAATTTAAATATAAATAGGAACTACTTGTTGCCATTCAGCATAAAAGAAATATAAATATGAATATTAACAAAATATTAAAGTTAATTTTATAAAATAATTAAACACATGAACAAATATATGAAATAAAAATAATTATTTCTCATGCAATAACTAGGCCACTACAAGTTCCATAAGTGTCTGTTTGAAATTTTAAAAGCATGTCTGCCAATTCTGAGGTATAAAAATTGTCTGTTATCAGACAATATCTTTGTTTTAGCAGGAGCTTGATAAGTGACATCACAACTTGAATTGATTGGGACAGATCTTTATATTTTGCATCAAAAAGCATACCGTTTCCAGTATACAGTCAAAAGTCTTTAATCCGGACGTCCATAATTAATGTTGCCAGCATTAATGCAGTACCAGAGAATGCTATAGGTCATCATTGTTGAACTTAGACTGTGGGCTCTGATGTTGTTGGTTATGCATTGGTGCTCTGTGGCTGTAAATATGTAGCTGAGCCTTTTTGTTGCATTCGGAGAGGGAGCAGTATGTGTATGACATTGTTTGTGATTTTCCCAAGGTTGGATGGAGATTCGTGCTCTTATCATTTCCAAGTCAGAAATATAGGACACCTGGCCATTTATTAGTTTTCTGCTGCTGCCTTTTTGCTATCTGTTAACAAAAACGGGAAGTACTGTGTCACAAGGGCGTTATGTCTGTGTAAAAAGTAAATGACTGGGAGTCAAACTGGGGTCTGTTGCATAGAAGTTGAATATTGTACCGCCATGATTGGTAATCAGACATCCCAAAACTCGTACTCTATTTCACTCTAGTGAAAAGTCTCATGCGTGTATTATAAAAGTAAGTTTAAATGCTATTCTAATCTTATAGCATTTAGGCTATATACTGTGAAGAAAGACCCTTTAAATTTGAATTGTGTAAATGTAAGGTTAAACATCAGTCTGATGCTAAAAAATGTTATTTAGTCCATACTCGATGAAAAACCTTACATGAAATATATCTAAGTACATACAGTACAAAGTCTTTAATCTGGACGACCATAATCCGGAATGATCTATAATCCAGACCTCAAAGCTACAAACTTTTTGCACATGCATAGCGTTTACGTATGCGCATAATACCTCTATGCATGCGCACATGCGTTTAATGTATAACGGACGGTATAAGCTAGGCTAAAATTATCTAATTATCATTTCAGTTAATGTTGCAGATTGCGTTGTTCCTTAATCTTCTGAATCGGAACCGGCTTATTATTTTTTGCAGACTGTTAGAGCAATTTTATAAAAAGTAAGCTTGAACTTTCGATTATGTCAAAAAGAGTTTCCGATTCTGGAGCTGCCAAAGGATCTACAAAGCGAAAGCATGTTTCAATGTCCATTAAACAGAAAGTGGAATTGCTGCAAAAAAGGGATAAAGGCATGAAGAAAGGGACAGAGATGTTAGGGAAAACGAGGAATTTCGATTGACAAGTTAGTCAGTATTCTCGGCACAGCAATTACAGGACTTGAACAGCGTTATTGTAACTGAACAAGAAATTATGTCTGTTTATAGAATTAAAGAGAAAGTATTAGCACAAGAAACGAAGCAACTTAAACAACTTACATTGAAAGAAATGTTTAATAAAGTAAACAAATAAATATTAAGCTTTTTTTTTGTGTAAATTTTGATACCCTTTAGATCATAATTGCTCTTTATTTCATATTTTTAATTTTATAATTTCTGCATGCCATCTTACCAGATTTAAATTGATGATCTATAATCCAGAAAAAACCATAATCCAGAATCGCCAAAATCCCGACGAGTCCGGATTAAAGACTTTGTACCGTATAAGTCTCAGTATACATTTCTAAAATATATTTTTTAACTCAGACTGTTAAAAATACGCATTCTTAGACTAATAGATGAAATCAGAAATCAAACTATGAGTCTTCAGTCACAAGAAATTGAGTGTACCATAATTTCCGGAAGAAAGACCGCATCAGCGTAAAGGGCGCACTCGAAAAAAATGGCGGGAAAAAAATTAAAATTACACAGAAACGCTGCATCAGCGTAAACGCCACAACAGATTAAATTGCGCGTGACATTGTCGTGGGCTGAATAGATGCAAAAACTCAACCTAAGTCCTGATACCAGTTAAGAAAAATGCATGAAATGAAACCATAACTCAAAAATAAATTAAAGGTAAGAAATGTGGAAAATATATTTACCTTCACGTATATACCTATATTTACCCACTAAAGAAGTCCATATTTGTAAAACTCAGACTATATTATAAAAAATGTTGCAACAACGAAATATTAAATTTGGATGACAAAAGGAAATTTTAAATTTTACTTACGAATTAAAGCAAACTATACATCATATGAAGCCATCAAAATCTGATTCTTCACTATCTGAATTAAAAAGATTTAGTAAATCCTGATCTAAGTCTGCAGTCTTCCAGATCGTCACATTCATCCTCTTGGTTTACAGTCTCTTTATCTAAGGATATAATTTCAGCTTCTTTGAACCCTGCTATTATTGACGATGTTTCTACCGATTTCCATGCACTTCCTGCCCACTTGGCAATTTCTTCATAAGATGCTCTCGCATTTTATCGCTTTTGGTTTACGTATGCAATCCTTCACTCATCCAACACTCACACCGCTTTCGGACTTCAGCTTTGAAGGATTTATTACCTGACAAATTTAACGGTTGTAAGATTTTTGTCAAACCACCAGGAATTATTGCTTCGGTCGTAGATAATTTTTGACATCTGGTTTTCACTGACTCAAAGAAATGAGCATGCATGGAATCCATTATCAATAACCCCTTTGGCTGGAAAAAAGATCCCATATGACACTGCCAAACTTTTTGTAGCCACTCATGCATGATTGTTTCACACATCTAGCCGTTCTCGTTTGCACAAATAATTACGTCATTAGGAAAATCTTCCTTCGGAATAGTCTTTCATTTAAAAATGATCATCGTTTAGCTTGTCACCGTTTGCGGCACAAGCTAATAACACACATGTAAATAACATTCTTTCATGCCCCGTCATAAACACAGATACAGATTTTGCACTAGTTTCATCAACAGTTTTGTTTGCAGTAGAGTTGAAAGCTAATGGCGTTTCATCCATATTTATTATCTGTGACCGAAGAAGTTTTTTTTTGTCAATAATAGCTGTCACATATTTTAGAAAAGATGACTTTTTATCCTGCCGGTCCATTGGTAATTGTTACCCGAGTGTTGTGCTAGTATGCACAGGAATATTTTTTCTTTTCATAAATCTGCTACACCTCCTTTGAAATCATTTATGTTCATTCGTTTTGCTATAAATTTTGCTTGTAAGCGAATTTTTACAGTCGAAATTGCCATTCCCTTTCCTTGTTGCTCCTTTATCCAGTTTGCAAGGTCGTCCTCTA